GCCTGCAGTCAGGTTTTTTATCTATCTATCATCTATCTATCTATCTATCTATCTATCTATCTATCTATCTATCTATCATCTATCTATCTATCATCTATCATCTATCTATCATCTATCCATCATTTATCTATCTATCATCTATCTAATCTATCTGTATCTCTCTTCTAATTGTCTGTTTACCTATCCATCATCTGCCTGCCTGCCTGCCCCCATCCATCCATCCACCATCCATCCATCCAAATCTATCTCTATCTCTCTTCTAATTGTCTGTTTAGCTGTCCATCATGTCTGTCTGTCTATTGTTATCTCTCTCTCTTCTCTCTAATTGTTTACCTATCCATCACCTGCCTGCCTATCATCTATCAGTTTTGTTTGCTGCCCATCTTGTTTCGAAGTGACTCTGAATGCTTTCTACCATGTAGTCACTCAAAAGAACATGGATTTTTGAATATGACACCCTACTTCAAAATAGTCAAAAATGCAATTACTTTTTCCTGGAATATATTGCTAGAAATCGCCAAACTTCTCTTTTTAGGCAGTTTTCTTCTAACTGTACCTCAAATTCTGCAATAATTTACCTTCGTTGATGCAATGCCCCCTCCAAAGGCCACTTTCAGAGAGGATTTTACATGAAAGTATGTAAATTATTGCAGGATTTCAGGAAACCTATTTTCTACCACTCTCAGCAGAATAACAAAGTTGGAAGGGAACTTGGAAGTCATCTATGCCAGGGGTCCCCAACCGCCAGAACAACTCCTACCGGGCCGCTGGCTTGCTGGGCGCCGCCATCTTTTTTTCATGAAAAAGTGCTTCCAGTGAGCTTTTCCGGGTAGAAAGCCATTTCTACCCGAAAAAGCTCACCGGAAGCGCTGGCGCCGCCATCTTTTTTGACGAAAAAGTGCTTCCGGTGAGGTCACCGGAAGCACTTTTTCGTCAAAAAAAGATGGCAGCGCCCAGTTGATGCCGGTACCGGGCCGCGGCGCCCAGCTGATGCCGGTACCGGGCCGCGGCATAAAAAAGGTTGGGGATCACTGATCTATGCCATTCTGGACAAATGGCTCTCCAATCTCTTCTTTAAAACCTCCACAAGTTCTTCACCAGGAAGGCCTTCAATCCTCAACACAGTTTTTACGTCATTTATAGGGATGCCTAAATCAATGGAGATCTGGAATCTCCTTTGCAATTCAAGGATATTTTTTTTCTGGGTCTTAGAGCTTGAAGGGTTTGATGGCTCTAGTTTTAAAAAACCCCAAATAAAATAAAAATGACATTAACTGCTAAGAAAGAATCAATTGTCACATCTTCTGCACCCCACTCTGTTAGGGACAAAATAAGATTTGGGCCTCAGCCAGATGTTCCAGCTGTGAATCAGCAAAACAGCCAGGAGTCTTGCTTTTAAAACACCAAACCACTGTTTGCATGTTGGGGGGGGGGGGGAGGGGGGGGGGGGGGGGGAGGGGGAGAGAGAGAGAGAAAGCCATCTGCAATAATTACAAATGAGTTGGCTCACCTTTGCCTTGTTAAATTCCCAGTTTCCTGGAGGGTGAATTTCCCTGAGCATCAAAAGACACAACAGCTGTGTGTTGCCTCCTGAACAAATCCCAGGCTCCCAAGCCAGTTTTTACCAGTTGCCAAATAACACCTCCAGGTGTGGCAGGTAAAGGAAGAACAGATCTGAGAACAGCATCACTCAGGTGTTGCAATCTACATATATAAAAGCAAAATGCCACTCACACATCATCACAAAATCTCCAGAACTGGAAAGCCTACAAACTTAAAATTTGGCACGTAGGTTGGCTTCTAGGTGCTCACTAAGAAAGGATTTTTTGAAATGACCATCAGAGCATTAGTATTTTGTATATTATTATTAACATGCTCTGATGCTAAGGAGTTCTACTGCCCCTCCCCGCCTGAAAAGAAATCTCTTTCAAATGCAAAACACAAGCAGAGGAGAGGAGTTTCAGTTTCAGTTTTACAGCAGCAAGCAGCTTTAGTACAGAATAGTTGAGCTAAGCCATGCCCAGGCTCCTTGCTGTCTCCTTGCTCACACAGCAAATACTGTTTCAGTTTCCATGTTTCTGTTTCCAAACAGCCCTCAACTCTCTCACGCACTGACAGGCCGCTAGCCAGATGAATACCGATAGATGCTGGTAGGCAGAGGCAGAATTTTTTCCCCTTATTTTCCTCCCGAAAAACTAAGCCCGACCACATAGTTTCATAGCGAAGCATGGGTGTAGAGCTAGTGAATATACACATATATATATGTGTGTGTGTGTTCCACTTGGTCCTGCACACACCCATATCTTTTCCCCCAAAGGCTCCTTTCATAATTTCTCTGTTCCTTGGCAATTTCTCCCTTTTAAAAAATAGTTGTGGTTGCACACAGAAAAGATCCGAGGTCCCGCGATCGCCACTTTCAACCAATCCCAGCCAGCTTTTGACAATCAAAGTCCATGGGGGGAGTGGAATTCACTTAATGAACCTCTGATTCACTTAACAACTGCAGTAATTTGCTTAACAACCATGCCAAAAAGGTCATAAAATCAGGTGCTTATTTAACAACTGCCTTGCTTAGCACTGGAATTTTGAGTCCAGATTGTGGTCGTAAAGGCTACCTGCACTAAGCTTGCTTTTAACCACGTTTAACCTCAGTTGAACTAGTTTGGGACTCTGCATCTTGTGCAAGTCCAGGTTTAAGGCATAGTTTTTCATTTGTTTCTTGGTTATATTGTTCTGGCTTTTTCTCCTGCAAAGAATCAACTCTTCAGTATCTTCACAAATGACTTTTAAATGAGGGAATAGAAGTGGAACTCATCAAATTTGAAGATGACACTAAGCTGGCAGGAGTAGCCAACACCCCAGAAGACAAGCTCAGGGTCCCAAAAGATCTTGGGAGACTTGAACAATGGGCTCTCTCCAAAAGCAGGACATTTAATGTGGAAAAAAGCAGGGTTTTACACCTGGGCAGGAAAAACCCAAGGTACAAGTACAAATTAGGCAAAATCTGGCTCAAAAACAGTAACCGTAAGAGGGACCTTGGAGTCCTAGTGGACAATCCCTTAAACACAAGCCAGGAGTGTGCAGCCGCAGCCAAAAAAGCCAACACAGTCCTAGGCTGCATTAAGAGAGGCATAGAATTAAAATCAAGAGGAGTATTGCTTTATAAAAAACCATAGTAAGGCCTCGCCTGAAATACTGCATCCAGTTTTGGTCACCACATCACAAAAAAGGTGTTGAGATTTTGGAAAAAGTGCAGAGAAGAGCAACTGAGAGGATTAAAGGCCTGGAGACCAAAAACATACTAAGAATGGTTTGCAGGAACTGGGTATGTTTAGTCTACAGCAGGGGTGCCAAACTTGATTTCATGGAGAGCTGCATCAGGGTTATGTTTGACCTCGGGCTGGGGGTGGGGGTTGGGCTGGATTTTTACCGGATTGTGGATCTGCCCAAACACCTGATTCTATGTCCCCCTCCAGTATATCAGTTCTTAGTTCTGTGGACATCCACATCATATCAATTCTAGACAGGGGCGGTCTTCAAAAAATTTATCAACCATTTCTCTGCCCAGTTGCTGGGTGGGCGTGGCCCAGGGGTGGGATTCTACCAGTTCGCACCTATTCGCTAGAACCGGTTGTTAACATTCTAAGCAGTTCGGAGAACCGGTTGTTAGAAGAAATTACTGGCCTAATCCTGTAAGGAAGGCAGGAAGGAAACATTCTGGTGTTGCTTACAGAAACTGCCTCTCCGTTAACCCTTATTACATTCTTGGCAGGACTAGACTTCCTGTCTCAGGAACGTCTCTGGAGTTTTTTCCCCCTCCTTTGCTGGCACTTTGCTTGTGTGGAGTGACCATTCAAAGTTACAATGGCACTGAAAAAAGTGACTTATGGCCGTTTTTCACACTTACGACTGTTGCAGCATTTGTTGTTTTCACCCTCCTGGAGGCTCAAGGGAAGCCTCTGCAGCCTTGGGAAGCTGAAAAATGGGCTTCCGGAAATACTGGGAAGTGCCCAAACGGGCCCGTTTTCAGCCTCCCAAGGCTGCAGAAGGTTCCCTCGAGCCCCCGGGAGAGCGAAAACAGCCTCCCCTGGGCTCCCGAGGCCCTCCGGAGGCTGAAAACGGGCACTTCCGGCAGGGAGGGGCAGGGGGCGCATTGCATTGTGAGTGCCAACGCTCATGTGCGATTGCATGCGCGCTTTAGGCACACCACGACAAAAAAGATTTGCCATCACTGTTCTAGACCCTTCTAGCTCTATTCTGATTGAGTGATTGGGTTTGACTCTCTTTTTTGGCCATCAGAGAAGGATCAATGCAGGAGGGCTAGCGAACTTTTAGAGTTACAATAGGACTGGGGGGGGGGAGACTTTTGGCTGGTCCTCGGACTTACAACCGTTGCAGCATCCCCACAATCACATGATCAAAATTCGGGCCCTTGGCATTGGTTGCCGCAACCTGGGGGTCACGTGATTACCATTTGCCACCTTCCCCAGCCTGGTTCCAACATGCAAACTGGGAAGCCGACATGCAAACTGACATGCAAAATGGGAAGCCGCTTAAACGACTGCAACGATTTACTTCACAACTGCAAGGGATTCTCTTATAACAACCGTGACCAAAAGAAAAAAAGGGGGTGAAAACAGTTCCCCACCAAACCTAGGGCTTGCTGAGCAAGTGGAAATCCTGTGCCCAACTGTGGTCGTTAAGTCGAGGACCACCTGTAAGGGATCGCTTGCAAACACAACTTCACTTCTGAGCCGAGACTGGTGGAGAGAGGAAACTTGTGACTTTTCCTAAGAAAATCTGAGAAATTCAGAAAATCCTCACGCCAAGATGCTCAACCCGGACAGATTAAAAAAATGCCACAGATCAGTGGTGGGATTCAGCCGGTTCGCACCAGTTCAAGAGAACCAGTTATTAACTTTCTGAGCAGTTGCTGAACTGGTTGTTGGAAGAAATCATTAGGGCAGAGAGAACCAGTGGTTAAACGATTTGAATCCCACCATGGCCACATATCCTTAAACTGGGTTAATGTGAATCTTGGCTTGCTCCTTTGCAAGTCGGCGGATGGCTTCTGTGTTACAGAAATGAAGCCCCTGGGGTTCCCTGAGGTTGCAAACTTGGAGGTTTTGTTTGTTATCCTCCTTTGTTTGTTTAGAGAGGGGCAGATTAGCAAGTTTCCGCCTGCCAAGACCTCAATTTTCCCAAGGAAAATCTGCCATAAGGACACATTAAAAAAACAAAAAATCTAGGGCCTCTTCATTTTTTAAAATCTTACCGCCGCAGCAAGGAAAGCTCGCACTCTGGAAAATTCTGGGTTTTTTTACTTTCCCCTTTTTCTTTCCGTACTTTAGAAATCCATGGAACTGAGCTTTGCTAGGCTGTGGTGAATTGCAACTGGTTCTCACACACAGAGACAAACAAGGCCACAACATCCACATTTTGTTCCACCTGTGGCTAAGCTCACAGGATACTTGTCCTCAGCAGGGTGTGAAGAACTTACAGGTTCGAGATAAAACACGTTAAGTACTAATTAATTTAGCATGCGAGGGGACTCCGCCCAGTTAATTATTTTAGGAGATAACATGTTCCACCTTCATTAATTTAGCATGCGAGGGGACTCCGCCCAGTTAATTATTTTAGGAGATAACATGTTCCACCTTCGTCCTTAGCACACACCTTAGTGTGTTTCGGTTAACCTAGATGCTTCCTCACGCTTTGGGCTGTCTCTCTCTCTCTCTCTTTCTCTCCTCCATGAGGACTAGAAACCTGAAACTTTCCACAAACAGACTTGCAGAGCCAATATACTATCCTGCAGAATCTTGGCCTGAGCCACACCCTTGTTGTGTGAAATGAGACAAAATATTTCACTATTTAATGACTAGCCGAGGGTCAAGCAACCAGACATCTGGGAAATTATTACTATTTTTAAATAGAAACATTACTATGCCTGCAATTTGGATGAGAAATAGTGATCATTCAATCAGCAAAACACTCCACCAATTGTAAGTATTGGTTTCCAAGCTAATTCATTCCAGAAAAGCAAATGATATGGACGTCTTGCAATTGGTTTTTATTAATTTTATCCCCCCTTTGTTATTTTTATAAATAACTCAAAGCAGCAAACATATCTAATCCTTCTTCCTCTTCCTCTTTACCCCACAACAACAACCACCCCATGAAGTGGGTTGGGCTGAGAGAGAGATTGATTCAAGGTTACCCAACTAGTTTTCGTGCTTAAGGCAGGACTAGAACTCCCAGTTGCCTAGTGATTGGCCCAAAGTCACCCAGGTAGCTTTCATGCCTAAGGCGGGACTAAAACTCACCGTCTCCTGGTGATTGGCCCAAAGTCACCTAGTCCACTTTCACGCCCAAGGTAGCTAGAACTCACAGTCTCCTGGTGATTGACTTAAAGTCACCCAGCTGGCTTTCATGCCTAAGGCAAGACTAGAATTCTTCCTCTCTTGGTGATTGGCCCAAAGTCAACCAGCCTAAGGCAGAACTAGAACTCCCAGTTGCCTGGTTTCGACGATTCAGCCCGTAAAGCATGCTCAGCTATTACAGCACGCAAAATCCCACACCTTGGCAAGAAATTACTTGCAAAGATTGCAGCAATCCAAATTAAAATAGGAGTTTCTTTGGACGAGGCTGGCAAATTGCAAAGTCAGATTCACAGACACACAGACACACAGACACACACACAGACAGACACACACACACAGAGAAAGTCAAAAGTCAGATTTATTTATTTTTGGCCAAACTTACCTGCTTCCCTTTTGGCCCCTCTCTCCCGGGCTCCTGATCCAGGATTTCTGTGCAGGAATTCTTGTCCACGGCTTTGTTCTCAGCTCCGCCCGGAGACAAAGAGTAGAAAGGGGGGCTCGGGCTGGGGGGCAGCCCCGAATCAGGACTGTCCAGCAAACTTTCCCGATTCTTTTCTTTGTTGGTGTTGTCCATACCTTGGAACTGCAAGTGACCCACCATGACTGGCCAGGTGGGGAGGTTGAAGGGGTGGGGGAGGAGGAGGAAAAGTGGAAAGAATAACGGGTCAGGAAGATAAAATCCGCCAAGCCGACCAAAAATCCACCTCTTCCTGGGTGGGCCAAGAAATGGGAAGCGGTACGAGGTGGGCAGTCCATTTCCCCAAGGGGATACCTGACAAACTGGGCCTGTTTGGAAAGCCGAATCAACAAGGCTGCACTGCATGCACGTAAATTGGAAAAACAAAAGTAGCCGTTGGCTTTTAAACTAAAAAATGAAGTCGTATCGCGTGCACGTTCGTATGTTTATTTACACGTGATTTCTATTTTCTCTAAAGGACCTCACGTGGGTCGGACTGGGGTAGCTAATGGGTCAGATGTGGCCCAGGGACCCCGAAATGCCCAGGTTTGGCCAAGAGGAAGGGGCAGGAGAGGGTAGATTTAAAAGATCATGTATACGGTCCTTATGCTTCCAGTTCTTTTTTTTTAGCAGGGCCTACCTTGAAAGGTGTTTAGGAGGCTCCCTCGATACTCCTGTTTCTCGGAGGTAGGCTTAAGGAGGGGAGCTGGGGTGCAGAAGAGTCCGACTCAAGCCCCCTCCCCAAGTGCTCATGGGGTGACCTTTCCCAGTCTCGGCTCAAGCTAGGGAGGAAAAGAATCAAGAATGAATCTCCCCCCAAAGTATCCGAAGGCGAGAAATAGCAAATGAAAGAGCGGTCATCTTTAGCACGGCTACCAAGCCAGGATTTGGGGTCCAGCAAACCTCTGGAGCCACCCCCACCCCCATCTGCTTCTAAGGGGTGGTCTAATACACACACATACACAAATGCACACTGACATTCAACCCCTCTCACTTTTTTTGCAGGTGAGAATTGCAGGCTCTGCTAGCAACCTTAAGACGGAATGCAAAGTGTTCCAAAAACTTGAATTGAAATCCCCTCATTTTGCTTGCCATGGAGATGCAAACCCCTGGTAAGTTTGTGGTTCCCCCAAAAGGGTTGGGGTGAGACAGGCTCCCTCTCCTTCAGGGTCTGAACCCCTGAAAGGAAAGCTAAAACCCCAACTTAGGAGAAATGGGTGGAGAGGACTGGGAGCAATATTCATCTCACTCCTGCAACCTCCTCCACCAGAAATAACGATTCCCTTCCCTCCTGGAATCGGCCAAAGCCTTTAAAGACGCTTCTTCTGCTCCATGCCACCCCCCTGACCTGCCTTCTTCTCCCCGAGTTGCATTCACACGTCATTCCAGGAAAGCTGGCTGGGTGAAAAGCCCCCGCCAGCCGTCCACCCTCCTGCGCCCCAGCGACCGCGCGGTTGAGTTTCCAGGAGGGCTGGAGTGCCCTCGCCGTTCAAAGTGTCCCGGGAAGACGAGCCAGCCCGATTGGAGCGCGGAGATTCCTTGGGACGCTTCTGCCCCGACCCGACCCGACCCTAACCCAACCCAGCTCAGCCTAGCCCAGGCCTTGGTTGGAGAGAAGGGGGCTTTCTCGGAGAGGTCCCGGTCCCCTCACCGGAGCCCCGACTGCACCTCCGAGAGCGCAGATCGCGCACGGTCCGGGGCGCACAGCTTACACCCTCCGCTCTGGGGTTAATCCAGCGCACGGGTGAGTGGGTGGGTTTCCGGGGGTCCTCGGCTGCTTGTCCCAGCCTCCTGCCTCCGTTCCGGCTCCGCTGTTGCTCGGAGGATGCCCGGAGCGCAGGATGGAGAAGGCGCAGGGTTAGCGGGCGATGTCCAGCGACGCGCCCCGGTTCCTGCCTGCTTGCTTTCCTTCCTTCCTTCCTCCCTCCCTCCCTCCCTCTTCCCTTCCCCTTCCTTCCTTCCTTCCTTCCCCTTCCTTCTTTCCTTCCCTTCCTTCCTTCCTCCCTTCCCCTTCCTTCTTTTCTTTCCTTCCTTCCCTTCCTTCCCTTCCCCTTCCTTCTTTCCTTTCCTTCCTTCCTTCCCTTCCTTCCTTCCTTCCCCTCCCTTCTTTCCTTTCCTTCCTTCTCCCTCCTACCCCCAAATGAGGAAGCGGAGTCCAACCATCCCCGAGCCCTACGTGGGAGCGGCGAGCTCTTCTGCAGCGCGGCGGCTCCGCTCCAGCTGCAGCTCCCTTCGGCCCCCGAGGCAAGGCCGGTCCGGACCCCGAGCGGAGCCTCCCGGCTGCTCCGCCGCCGCCGCCGCCGCCTCTTTCCCCTCCCCGAGCCTGGCCCGCCTCCTCCTCCTCCTCGCGAGGAGCAGAGGCGGCCCCTCGCTCTCCCCAGCAAGCTCTTGGTGGTCGTGGGGACGCCTCCTCCTCTCCCGGCCTCCCTCTCTGCTTCTGGGTGGGGACGCGTCCACACGTGCGCTTTTTTGGAGCGGGGCGAGCGTTGCGCTGGGGGGGGGGGGGGGGGGCTGCCTTCAGTGGAGGAGGAGGGGCGATTTGGCACCCGCAGCCCTCCTTAAGCAGTGGAGGGCTAAATCAAATAGGATTTAGGAAAGAAGTCCTCCGCTTATGACCGGAATTGGGACTAGAATTCCCATTGCTAAGCGAGATGGTTGTTAAGTGAGTGGCGCCTGCTTGTATGACCTTTTTTTTTGTCTCAGCGGTTAAGAAAAGTGCATCAGTGAAACTTGGGGAGATTCACTGATCTCAACTTGATTTGAGGAGGTAAGGAAAAGATGGGGAGGAATAGAGAGTGGGGGGGGCATTTTTCTAAAACTAGTTTGATTAGTTGGGGGGGGGGGGAGAAAAGGAGAAAGAGCAAAAAATCCCAGGTCAAATTCAGGAATTGCAACCTGTGGCAAAAAAATTGTTATTCATGGTGATTAATAGAAGATAGATAGATAGATAGATAGATAGATAGATAGATAGATAGATAGATAGATAGATAGATAGATAGATAGATAGATAGATAGATAGATAGATAGATGTAGGTAGGTAAGTAGGTAGGTAGATAGATAGATAGATAGATAGATAGATAGATAGATAGATAGATAGATAGATAGATAGATATAGATGATGGAGATAGACAGATTAATTAGATAGATAGAAACACAGACAGATGAAAGAAAAAGGAAGGAAGGAAGAGAAAAAGAAAGAAAGAAAAGAGAGAAGATAAATACCAGTAGATAAATACTGGTAGATACATACAAATAGATAGACAGACAGACAGACAGACAGACAGACAGACAGACAGACAGAGACATTCTATGCCCTTGTTGAGGGCAAAGTTTTGTCAGGAAAGGCTAAGGGGTCAGGAGCCCCTATTTCTCTGCTCCCGGGATTTTCTTCCTGTTAGGATTCCTCAATGCCTGTCCCCCCTCCCCACCCCAGGACATTCAAGGGGGAACATTTCACACATTGATAAAAAGGACCGGTTGCCCTTGACATTTATGGACGATAGGTCCCAGCCCGGTGCTGTGGGTGTGTGTGTGTCCTCTCTCTCCTCTTTCCCTTTCCCTTTCTCTCTCCCTCCCTCTCTCCCTCCCCCCCTCTCTCCCCCCCTCTCTCCCTTCCTCTCAAACAGAACCTTCCCTGTGCCATTTACCCCTGCCTGATTAATCAACCCACATACAGCCTGTGTTTCCAACTTCTTTTCTGTAGCCAGCTTAAGTTTTGTTACAAGCAGGGGGGAAATAACGCAGCAGATGGAAACTCCGGTGCTCAGGGCTACTGAAAAGAAAACAAACAAACCAGAAAGCTACACAGATACTTTTCTGTAACTTGTACACAAGACGTACCCAATATATGGGCAGAGAAGAGGAATGGAAATTTTATTTATTTTGATCACAGCAATCACAACAAAATTACTCTCTGGTAGTGTAGAAATCAGACCTAAAGACATAATTTTTTTTAAGAAGTGCATTTCTCCCCACTGAACCAAGCCTGTACCTCAACCTGTACCATGGTGATCGTTTTAGTTTTAATTAACTTTGAAGAGAATGTCTGCTAAGTTTAACAAGGGCTTCCATATAGGAGGCCCATGGTTACTGGAATGGCTCAGGGTCACCACATCCGTTAACAATTTGGGCTTCACTTGTAAAGGAGCACCAGTTTTCCATTCCAGAATAATTAGAGCCACAAGCATCTCTCTCCAAAGTTGAAGGACCAGTCTCTTAGAATTAGAACATTCCATTTCCATGGCCTGCAGTCAGGTTTTTTATCTATCTATCATCTATCTATCTATCTATCTATCTATCTATCTATCTATCTATCTATCATCTATCTATCTATCATCTATCATCTATCTATCATCTATCCATCATTTATCTATCTATCATCTATCTAATCTATCTGTATCTCTCTTCTAATTGTCTGTTTACCTATCCATCATCTGCCTGCCTGCCTGCCCCCATCCATCCATCCACCATCCATCCATCCAAATCTATCTCTATCTCTCTTCTAATTGTCTGTTTAGCTGTCCATCATGTCTGTCTGTCTATTGTTATCTCTCTCTCTTCTCTCTAATTGTTTACCTATCCATCACCTGCCTGCCTATCATCTATCAGTTTTGTTTGCTGCCCATCTTGTTTCGAAGTGACTCTGAATGCTTTCTACCATGTAGTCACTCAAAAGAACATGGATTTTTGAATATGACACCCTACTTCAAAATAGTCAAAAATGCAATTACTTTTTCCTGGAATATATTGCTAGAAATCGCCAAACTTCTCTTTTTAGGCAGTTTTCTTCTAACTGTACCTCAAATTCTGCAATAATTTACCTTCGTTGATGCAATGCCCCCTCCAAAGGCCACTTTCAGAGAGGATTTTACATGAAAGTATGTAAATTATTGCAGGATTTCAGGAAACCTATTTTCTACCACTCTCAGCAGAATAACAAAGTTGGAAGGGAACTTGGAAGTCATCTATGCCAGGGGTCCCCAACCGCCAGAACAACTCCTACCGGGCCGCTGGCTTGCTGGGCGCCGCCATCTTTTTTTCATGAAAAAGTGCTTCCAGTGAGCTTTTCCGGGTAGAAAGCCATTTCTACCCGAAAAAGCTCACCGGAAGCGCTGGCGCCGCCATCTTTTTTGACGAAAAAGTGCTTCCGGTGAGGTCACCGGAAGCACTTTTTCGTCAAAAAAAGATGGCAGCGCCCAGTTGATGCCGGTACCGGGCCGCGGCGCCCAGCTGATGCCGGTACCGGGCCGCGGCATAAAAAAGGTTGGGGATCACTGATCTATGCCATTCTGGACAAATGGCTCTCCAATCTCTTCTTTAAAACCTCCACAAGTTCTTCACCAGGAAGGCCTTCAATCCTCAACACAGTTTTTACGTCATTTATAGGGATGCCTAAATCAATGGAGATCTGGAATCTCCTTTGCAATTCAAGGATATTTTTTTTCTGGGTCTTAGAGCTTGAAGGGTTTGATGGCTCTAGTTTTAAAAAACCCCAAATAAAATAAAAATGACATTAACTGCTAAGAAAGAATCAATTGTCACATCTTCTGCACCCCACTCTGTTAGGGACAAAATAAGATTTGGGCCTCAGCCAGATGTTCCAGCTGTGAATCAGCAAAACAGCCAGGAGTCTTGCTTTTAAAACACCAAACCACTGTTTGCATGTTGGGGGGGGGGGGGAGGGGGGGGGGGGGGGGGAGGGGGAGAGAGAGAGAGAAAGCCATCTGCAATAATTACAAATGAGTTGGCTCACCTTTGCCTTGTTAAATTCCCAGTTTCCTGGAGGGTGAATTTCCCTGAGCATCAAAAGACACAACAGCTGTGTGTTGCCTCCTGAACAAATCCCAGGCTCCCAAGCCAGTTTTTACCAGTTGCCAAATAACACCTCCAGGTGTGGCAGGTAAAGGAAGAACAGATCTGAGAACAGCATCACTCAGGTGTTGCAATCTACATATATAAAAGCAAAATGCCACTCACACATCATCACAAAATCTCCAGAACTGGAAAGCCTACAAACTTAAAATTTGGCACGTAGGTTGGCTTCTAGGTGCTCACTAAGAAAGGATTTTTTGAAATGACCATCAGAGCATTAGTATTTTGTATATTATTATTAACATGCTCTGATG